ACACACTGACACACACTGACACACACACTGACACAAACACTGAGGCCGCAGAGATGCAAAAAGAGGGAATAAAGCTTTACACGTCACACACACAAACCTGTTTTTCTATATATGTGAGATGTTTTATATTTAGACGTTAGCATATTTTGTCATATCTGTAAGAATCGATATCCCTTTTTCAGATAATTAAAAACCCGCTAACACAACACCTGGGTTTCGCAAAATGATGACTGCTCTATAAATAGTTCAAGGCCCGGCCACAGACCAATCAGATGCCTCGGTGCTCTGAACCCAATTGTAGTAACTCTTCCAAACTTCTTTATTGCTCTGAATCCAACTTCTCCAAAAACTCACTCACACTTTTCTTGCTAGTATTTTAATTCTGTCCACTAGGGGGCGCAGAACATAATTGAGAAACACAGTTTTAACCCATCACCTTAGTAAGCAGGCAACACTTGACTTCCACCACTGCCCCACTATATCGGTATCAGTTGATATCGGAATCGGAAATTACGTAATTGTTTGGCCCATATCGCCATATCGGATATCGGCAAAAAACAAAAAAAGTGTGCCACCTAGAGAAGGCCTGAAGAAGTGTACTTAAACTATATCAGTGGACTGAGTAGAGTGTCGTCAGCGTAAGGTGGGACCACGGAATCTATTACGGGGCCGAGGACTGAACCCTGCGCGGCACCTTTGGTGACAGAGGAGGCGCCGAAGAGTATCGTAGAGTATTTCAGATGGAAACATCCGTACAAAAACAGGAAGTACTTTAGTGAGGTAACGTTTCACCTCAGAGTCGGTCACTGAGAGACTTTCTTTTTTTTGTAATTCTGTAATTATTTCGGTCTGTTTCTAAATCTGAGGGTCAGGTCACCATGGACGGCCCCTGCATTCATCACAGGTTTCATTTTTTTTTGAGGTCAGTGTGAATCAGCGTGAACGTGTCTGTGGGGGAATTGGTGTCAAACGTGCATCTGATGGTGGAAGTGGAGGCTGGATAACGTGTGTGTGTGTGTGTGTGTGTGTGTGTGTGTGTGTGTGTGTTCCATCTCCACTGCTGTTTTTAACACTTAATGAAAAATCACCTCAGTCGCCGTGTGGTCGTCTTTGGGTTCAGTGTATTTATAGCTAAGAGTTGACACTCTTCCAACATGGCGCACACCTATGTTCGTGTGTGTGTATGTGTGTGTGTGTGTGTGTGTGTCTGGGTCGAGCAGATGGGCTGTCTTACTCTGCTTCCTTTGCTCCCTGGCTAGCCTTTAGCTCCACCCGTCCAGGACAGGATGCTGCCTCAGGAGCAGGTTGAAAATAAATGCCCCCCCCTCTGCTCTTAACACCCCGCTGACATGTATTCTCTTCCTCACCTCCTACTTTTCTCTCTACTTGTGTTGCCCCCCCCGTCCCCTCCCAGTGTCCTGTTCACCCTTTAGCCCCGCCCTCCCTCGGACTGTAAACGACGTGACGCCGTCGTCCGTCGAACTCTTCTTTCGGCCAAGTCACGATGACGGTCCGCTGGTCTCCTCCACCTGCCCCACACCGGGGGTGACCTCTCTGACCACAGGCTGTTTTGGAACAATCTGCCACAGGGAGTTCCCCTTTCTCTCCTGTTGGCTAAGAATGGACGGGTGGAAAAACAAACCCCCAACGTGCGCTTGAAGCACGAAGGGCGAGTGAACGCAACCAAGTCGGAGGAGAAACACGAACGATCCTCAGGAGAAAACCTTCACGTGCAGCAGGGACGTGAAATAAAAAACGGTGAAACGTCCAAGTCAGGGGTGCCAAATATACGGACCACGGGCCAAAACCAGCCCACTAGGGGGTTCATTCAGGTCCGGCCCACTAGGGGGTTCATTCTGGTCCGCAATAAATTTTAA